GGTTTGTTTATTTTAGGATTGTTTGCACTGTTATTCATTTGGGTTTGTTTATTCACTAATCTATGTTATTCTAAGGGAAGTAGTTTATAGACACAGATCATAACTGGTAATTGTTTATTTTGTTAATGAAAGTTCAGAAGCTAATTTGGGTTTGTTTATTTTTGCTTGAATAACTAATCTATTCAATGAACAAAATGATTTGGGTTTGTTTATTTTAGGATTGTTTGCACTTTATTCATTTGGGTTTGTTTATTCACTAATCTATGTTATTCTAAGGGAAGTAGTTTATAGACACAAATCATAACTGATAATTGTTTATTTTGTTAATGAAAGTTCAGAAGCTGATTTGGGTTTGTTTATTTTTGCTTGAATAACTAATCGATTCAGTGAACAAAATGATTTGGGTTTATTCATTTTAGGATTGTTTGCACTGTTATTCATTTGGGTTTGTTTATTCACTAATCTATGTTATTCTAAGGGAAGTAGTTTATAAACATAGATCATAACTGGTAATGATTTGGGTTTGTTATTTCACTAATCTATGTTATAGACACTAATCTATGTTATAGACACTAATCCATGTTATTCTAAGGGAAGTTCATAAGCTGATTTGGGTTTGTTTATTTTTGATATCGTCTCTCTCTGTTTTACCCTCGCTCTCCTCTTTTTGACGAAGTTGTTAATAAAGAAGCCAACTTTTGACATGTTTATTCACTAATCTCTCTGTTTTATCCTTGCTCTCCTTCTTGTTGGGGATGTTGAAAGTAAGTTTTGTTCTTCATCTTGTTGGAATTACGAGCAACTCTCTTTTAGCTCTAAGAACTGTTATCTTTCATACCTCTAAGTGGAATAATCATTGCAATCATCTTTAATGCCTTTCTTCTTTTGTGGAACACGTGCAAGCCTAAGAGATATATGACACCATAGCGATGGTGACCATATGTAAGGGTCATTAAAATAGCAACGAACACCAGAAACAACTAATAATACTTGGACCAATGTGGTGAGTCATCTATACTAATGTTGACTACAATTGCTTGGATTCCTAATGTTCTTGCTATGGAAACAATGTGTAGTGGAAGCTAACTCATGAGAGTATGAAACTAGAGAGATTTGGTCTCTCATCCCTTGTATAAATATATGTAAATCATATTGAAATTAACAGAGAATTCCTGCTGCTTACAGATCTTTGTGTATAAAGATCTGCACACATTGTACTACTGTTGGGGTTAGCAAGACAGCAAGAATAAGCACATGAGGTCTATATACCTCTGCTTGTACATTAAAACACATTGTCACTCTTCTGTCATTCTACTTTTAGGGACCGTTAAAAAGTTAACTGATTGAATTATGCAACTAGATAGCCAACTGCCAGTAAAGCATTTTGCTGTTTCGGCAAGCTCTTTCAGCTCTGAGCTTACATCCTGCACCTGCTGTCTTCTAGGGTAGGTCCTAGCATATGCTGCAACTTAGATTCACAATGAAGTTGATCTCAATTTCGGACTTTTAAGTTTAAACTGTGGTCTTACGAACTAAGAAGCAATTTATATAAGCACCAATTTTGATCGATTTCTCAAGGAGTTAGTGAATTTTTACCTTACCTGACAAATGGTTGAGTTGCTAATGAATTTGAGTTTTAGTTTTTTGTGCTTTTTTCCATCTTGACCATAAAAAGCATACCTATTTTTTTCTTTTCGCTTTAAGTACTCCATGTTTACTTTCAGTTGAATGAATATTTAGTTTCGATCTTTTGACTTTGAAGTTATATGTTTGCTCTTTGTTTAAGTTTTCTGGCAAGTTTTCAAGGATCCCTGATCAAGAGGTTCAAAGGTTTGGGCCCAAGTTATCATCACTAATCGGTTTGGCTTTAGCATTCTCTTTTATGGGTCTGCAAATATTGGTATTTATCAACATATTATTACCTATTTCTTGACCTCTTACAACTTGTGTTATGTAGTTTTAAATTATGATGGTAGTTTTAGGCGTAATCTCTATACTCAGGTATGTTACTCTGCATTTTTTTTATCAATAACTGACATTTTCCGTCTCTTCTTTCTATCACTAAATTTATGTAATAACATGAGAGGTTCCATCTACATCCAACCTTCTTTATGTATTATGTATTAGATGTTTTGATGCGTTTGTTTTTGAGTTGGTAGCTACTGTTCTGCTACAATTCAAGCTGCTAATATACTCCAATTTTGTTGTCTAGATGTCAAGTTCATTAGTGGCATTGGACGAGAGATCAAGTGAAATCAAGTTGGATCAAAGTAATCGCTCCCTTTTTTGTTTGTTGTATTTTCCTTTTAGATGCATCAAGATATAGTCATTAGATAAGTGAAATTTCTCGAGTGATGCTACAATCTTAGTACAATAACTGTCAAAGCCATCGTGGTCGATTCTCATCCTCATCTTTGTACGATTCTCATCTTAAGTTGATATTAAAACACATGTATATACAATTATACAAATGGCATACAAATTTGTTGCTTATATCATGCTTTGTAAAGTGCCACACCCTTGCCGTGACATATACGGGTTGAGGATCAATGGCAGCTGTGCTTCAAGCTTGTATTTGTTCTCTGTTGGGATGCTTCTTGACTTTACGCTTTCACTTTTTAGAAGATTTTTTGGTTCAGAAAAAGAAACCTCTCTATGTGTGCTAAGTAACAGGTGTTGATATTAATGCACTCCTCTGTGAGATTCTGATGGTTTCACAAATTTCCTTGCAGTATGATTGATCTCCTTGATAGATTCTGATTGAAACCGACAAACCTTTTGACAGTTTAGTAACTGCAAGCTTTCCATGGGCCTTGTGGTTTGCAATGTCACTGTTGAAACCGTTTTACTAGCCAAGTTAAGCAATTTCAATGTGGTATAATGGAGTTGAAGCTCCAACTTTGCCATCTTATAAGAGAGAACAAATCATGGGCTCATGGTTGTAGGGTGCATCATAGGAATCATTACAGCCTCATCGTATCTCGTGCTTTGCTGAATGGTCATTTGAACTAGTTGAAGCTTGTGCTATAAAAGTCTATGGGGCCGTTTACCAAACACTTATCTGGTAAGTGCTTACCGATAAAATTTAATTATTATTTACTTACCGGTAAGATTTTAGTCCAACAAAACGACAACGTATGCAACAATCTACCCGGTAAGCGCTTACCGTGGTAAGGGTCGTCGTTCTCACTTACCGGTAAGACTCTTGGTCCTTGTCTAGCTCTTACCGGATAAGATTTTTTGGTCCTTACCATATTCATCCGGTGTGGTAATGTCACTTGGTAAGCACTTACTCAAGTAAGATTTTGTTTAACGACCCCTATACCTCATCAATCATGTTTTATAACTTTTAATAAAAATCCTGCTGGACAAATGGACTGAAAAGAACCACAATTATTGGGGTCTGGGGATATGACTCTTCCGGGATGAAGATGCTTTCTTTCTATTTGTTTAAAACATCAAAATATTTGAACTTGTTTGATTATTTGATTAGTCCTGGGATACATTTGTATTCTAAAAACAAAAGGTGTATTGCAGGAAGTGTCTTGCTTAAATATTGATTTAAAAAATTAGGGAAATGGTAGTTTTGAAATTTATGTTAATTAATTTTTATTTTTATATTTACAAGTTATTATAGACAAAAAGTTGCATGTTGTGAAGGCTTCACTTGTATTTATTATAGATAAAAAAGTTGCATGTTGCGAAGGTTTCACGTGCTCCATTCACTTTCGGCTTGTTTATGAATTTTGCTATAGAAATTGTTGAAGCTAGACCACCCTATCTACATAAAAGAATGTATTAGTAAAATGTGTACGTTTATTTTATCTTTTTGATTCTCCATTTTACTAAATCATTTATAATTTCTAAGAGTTCCACTGAAATATCAAATGTTTAAATATAAATTTTATATTTTTGATAAATAGTTACACTCATTTTTTTATTCTAGGGCTTATTAGAAAATTTGACATTCCTGTCGCAATGGACGGGACACAACCAGTATATTTATGTTATATATTTATGTTATATTTAAGAGCTAGGTTATATTTTTGGCTCCGCCGTTGAACAGCAGACATCATGGAGGGGAGGGAGCCATCCGCGGCGGAGCAACCTGAATTTGTTAGCCGGAAGGAGAAGCGAAAGGCACTGAAGAAGGACAAGAGGAAGCAAATAAGGAAGGAGTTAGCAGAGAAAGCTCGCGCTGAGGAGGAAGCTCGGATCAATGATCCCGAAGAGCAACGAAGGATTCAGGTGGAGGAGGAGAGGGAGAAAGAAAGGTTAGAGAGGGATAGAAAGGAGTTCGAGGAGAGAGAGAGGATTTTTCTTGAAGAATTACAAAGGAAGAAGATGGAAGAGGAAGAAGAAGAGCGAAGGAATGTTGTTGAAAGAGAATTAAAGCTAAAACAGGTTTGTCTCTTACTGTTCTGATACGATTAACTTGTTGATTTAAACGTTTCAAATTGATTCGAGATTACTATCTTCTGGGACAAATCTTGAACTATTTACTTCCCAATAGTCTATTATGTATATTTGGGATTAAACTTTTGGGACAAGATGTGATATTTTGTCTTGCTCTATTCATAGTGGTCGCCATAATTCAAAAACTACAAGGTCACCAGCTAACATATGCATAACGTAAGTGCTCAGCCTCAGTTACTACATGATTGTGACTGAGCTCAAGAAGGCTCATGATTGTTAAGCAATAAGCAATCATGTTTGCGAGTAGGAAGGTTCATGAGTTTATGGTAATACTTGAGCACAATTGTCTGGCTACACCTTGGCACTCATGTTTGTCTTCTTATCTGTGAAAGCCTATGATCGGGAGTTCAAGTGAAGAGTGTTAATACTAGTTTTTCTACTACGAGTTTTTATTTCTCAGAGTTAGTATTCACTTGGAAAAAGGACCGGATTCTCGTATTAACATCAATTATTGACCAAATGTGTTACCTAATGAAGCTTAGGGACCAAATGTGTCATCTAATGATGCCTAGGGACCAAATGTGTCATCTAATGACGCCTAGGGACCGAATATTGTATCAAGTAGTTGTTAAACATCTATAACCAAGCAGGCTTGAGATTGTATAATAATGCTTGAGCTTGAAATGGTCACGAGCTATAGTTATATCATATGTGGACATGTTTCCAATGGTGTATCCTGCAACACGTTGAGTAACATAAATGCAGATACATATAGGCATATAGCAAACACCTGATTTCTTTTTTGTTTCTACGAATTGTTCTGAAAGCCTTGGGAGTAATTCTAAATGTATTATGCAAATGCGCTTGGGGTGTTTAATCCACACATGAACTTCAATTAGTGTAATGTGACGGTTGGTTATGATGCCCATCTGTTGTTTAAGACCGCTACAAGCTCAGTCTGTTGTGCTTTGTGGAAGCTTGATTTGCTTACAGCCTAGTGTGATTTCACTAATACCTTCAGAGACATGCAATTCACTCAGACAAGAATCTAATGTGCAAAGTGATTGTTCTTTTTTCAGCTTTTTACACCTATAAAATAGCGTGTGTGCATATTGAATCTTCATGTATAATTGCATTGATCCCTTTTGCATTCTAAAGCCGCAGAGCCAATTTAATGATGCATCCATGTATAACATAGTAATATGCATATGTATAGGTGAGCAAAGTTACTTTTTTGTAGTAAATAACTTCTTATGTTCGAAATTATTGTACAGGAAGGAGTAGAGGAAGGTTCAAATGAAGACGATGAATGGGAATATGTAGAGGAGGGGCCTCCTGAAATCATTTGGCAAGGAAATGAGATAATAGTTAAAAAGAATAAAGTCAGGGTGAAAAAGAAAGACGCCAATCAACATACCGAAAAAGAAGTACAAAACTTAATCTTTTGTTGCCCTTCCCGGGTGAATCATCTTTTTTTGTGTTTGTTGCAGCACACTTACGACTTTTAAGTTCCTTTTCTTTTGCAGGATCCTAATAGACCTACATCAAATCCACTTCCTCCACAATCTGAAGCCTATGATGCTTACAAGAATGCGCCCATGACGTCAGTAGAGTTGTTGGACTCTGTTGCCCAGCAGGTTCCAAACTTTGGAACAGAACAGGTCGGTATTTGGTAGGATTTTTCTGTTACTGTCGTGTATGGTGTACTCAACCAGTTCTGCATTGGCCTCTTAATTTTGCAGGATAAATCTCATTGTCCGTTTCACATAAAAACTGGAGCATGTAGATTTGGTTTGCGTTGCAACAGAGTTCATTACTACCCTGATAAATCTAGCACATTGCTTATCAAGAATATGTACAATGGACCTGGCCTTGCTTGGGAGCAGGATGAGGGACTTGAGGTCTGTTGTTGGGTTCAGGCTGTGATTCTAGTATCCTGATGATAACTTCAATGACCATCTTAATAGGTTTTATAATTTAGTTTCTATTAATTAGTGACTAATAAAACTCACTTGTGAGTAATCATGGTGGTACATCAATTTTAGAAACAATCTTTTTAAGCTGCAACCTTCTTAACTGTTTATTCATCTACAAAGCTTACACATGCATAAATCTTAAGCTGTTGATACCAACAATCAATTACAACGACCTGAACAAATGTTTTCTTATTAAAATGAGAGTTTCCATTATATATTAATTTGACTGTTAGTTCCTTTTGACTTCTCTTGTGCATATATGAGCTGTTTTGAGTCTGTCTGTTTGCCTTTTGATGTCTGTATATGCCAGTCAACGTGTTTTAACTTGTTCATGATTATTATCAAAATTGTAACTCCTACAATTTCTTGGCGCAGAGCAAGTTTCTCGGGAGACGAGACTCTTTACATGCAAGAGCTCTATTCATTCTATTGATAGGGCAGTATTTGTTTAGCATTTATAAAAGTCAAATCATGGGTCTAACAAGTTACTTTCTGGGTTTCAGTTGGCCACATTATTCATTGAGTACTACCAATCTGTTACTCCTCCATACAATTCATGCATTTCATTGTTCAAGGCATATTAATGTGCAATTTGAATGCAACTATGATTCTTACACCTTAATGCTTTAATGAAACCGGGATTGATTGTTGCTTGCACTTCTTGTTGTTCTTGACTACCAAATCAGAATTTTTCCCCAAGATCAACGACGGAGGTTCATGGTTTTGGCCTGGAGATTAATGTTATTAGCAATATGTATCCTACATTCTCTCTAACTCGATTATTTTTTAATTCGTTTTCCATGATGTGTTGTTGATTGTGATGACATTATCTTACTAGTAATTGCTTGATAATAACCTTTTAGATATTTTGAGTTCGTGTCTCTATAAGCACCTGACTCTTCAATTATACTCATATAAAAGGGAGTTTGTAACCCTGGTTTTGGGAGAACCGTAGAAGATTATTTTGGTATTTTCTTCAGACATGCCTATTTGATCTTTTGAGTGGGTACTTTGAGAATATTCGGGCCGCTTATTATTTAGTTGTGAGAAATGGTTCACTAGAAATTTATGTAGTTCTTTTTGCCTCTGGATTCGAGTTCCTTAACTCCTTTCCAGTGCTACTTATCATGCAATTGGAGAGCTGACGCTAAGATTTGGTAGTCTTCAATCTTGACCTTGAAAAGGACATCAACATTGCCATTTACAGACGCAGTTATTACAAGGTCAATTGATGGAAGAGGAGCGAGAAACCATTGCGGACAGATTCATGCCACCTGATCTGTATGTGAAATTACTGAAATATAGAAGATGCATCACATTAGATTTAAGGGTTGGAGTGGCTGCATGGTATTTAGTTTATGGTGTAAGATAAGATTTTTTTGGATGACCATTCCGTTTTTGCTTTCTCACTTCTTAGCAGGTCAGATTCGTAGTACATGTAGTCTTTAATTTGCTTCTAGATGACAACTTACAAATTTTCCATGCAAATCATTTAGAAAGAGTTGTGGTCGTATGGGTACTATGGTTCATTAGTTTTATATGTCACTATTATGCACAAACAATATGTTGGATGAAGTTAAATTGTTCATTCTTAACATCGTTCTTTCCTCTATCTAAGGTTTTCATCTGTACTTAATGATAACATTCATGTATTTTGCTGATTTAATTATTATTTCTGTCTAAAATTCAGTTAAGTGACTATACCGAGGACATATGATTAGTAAGATGCAATATACTTAAGCTCACCCGATATCTGCCATAATGTGTGTACAGCTGGAGCTAATTAAGTTCTGCCCTTATCGAGGTGGGAAACACCTACCACCTGAATAAAAATGTGTATTACCTTGTTTGAAGCTCTCCCAGACTCCGAGTGTACACACACATATATATAGACATGCAGATGCATATAAGATATAGGTGTTGTACATATATATACAAACTTACACACACATATGTATATGTGCATACATGTACACAAATATATTATATAGATAGATATGCATATATGTATAGCTATTATACATATGTGTATATGCATATATACATATTCATAGATACATACCTACATACAATGAAATTGACGGATGAGTGTGGTTTGCACGGTTTGTACAAATATGGGTGGTTTGCATTTGATAGCTCCCATATATATATACAAACATATTCACATATGAGTTGTGTGTGTGTATATATATACACACATAAATACAAGTACACGTGTGTGTATCAATATCTATACGTACTTATGTGTGCGTGCATTTGTGTGTGTATATATATATATATATCTTTGTATATGCGCAAATATGCAAATATGTATGCACATTCAGGCATATATGTGTGTTTGTCTGTATTTATCCAGGTATAAGTATGTTATAACTTATAATGGCACTGTACAAACTTGTCTCTCATGATGGCTAAGGTAGTCCAGTTTTAGCCTTTGTTTAGTCAGTTGTAGTTCATAAGTGGTAGGAGATATATGTGGTTAAACCTAATGGGAAACCATTATAAAGATCAATTTTTTTTAGTGAAGTATTTTTCAAGTGGTTGCTTTTTCTTTCTTGCGTCTATCTTCGATTGTTTTTATTGTCATGTGTTTCTTAAAGCTTTCATCTTCTAGACCTGCACGATCTAGAGTTAGTTCCCCATACAAAGTAATTCTTACAATTCTTTGATTAGGTCCTCAGATAACTCTATTTTTTGTGGTTGCATAGATTGGTTTCACTCTTGTCTTTTGTCCTTCAATTCTGTAATAAGTTTGTACTTTGATGTTATATGGCCATGGTTTAAATTGTTTGAGGAAGTACGTTAGTCGACAACATATGTAATATATCTAATTAAAACTCCCTCGGATCTTGAAATAATCTCACCACTGCTCATGAAGGTTAATTATCACTAGAAAGGAAAATGGAAGAACAAGAACTAATATATAGGTTAGAGCTGGCCAAACATGTCTCCAATATACTCTGATAAATGGAGGCAAGCAAAATGAGATTTTAGGTGTATGTTACATTGTCAGCACCACTTGCTTCTGTTGGTAGTCCCTTCTCTAGTGTTATGAACTTCTGGGGGATTATTTCATCACATCATCAACAATTCCTTCTCCTCGTCTTCTATAGTCTTTCTTCAAATCCTATTAGGTTAGGAAAATCTGTTTTTGAATATTCATATTAACTCGCGATATTCATTTAATCAATATATCATCAAAGGGTGCTTTTATTATGCAGGTACAATTCTCATAGAAGTCACTAGAACAAAGTATAATATAAAGTGGTGACAGAGATAATAATTATAAGTTTTTTAGTGGGTCTTCCTATTCTTCAAGTGCAAACCTATTCCTAATGTAGCAACCCTGCTCCATATTTGATCCATGAAAGTTAGATGTTGATGGCCTTTTCTTTTCTCTGCTCATAACTGAAATTCTTCCCAGTTGAAAGCTTCACTATGATATCCAATGTTTGTCTGCTGCCTTTTATCATGTTTCTAGAAATCCTAATTTATGCGCATATTATGCAATGACATATCATATCAAGCATTCCCTCTAGAAATTGAGCTTGGCCTTTGTTGATGAAGATACTACGTTCTTTTGGGGAGAACTTCTGAATGCATGTTGGTTAGTCCCAGCTGCCCACATGCGTGGGTCAACTTGAAAAGATACAAACTTACAAAAATCAGTAGCTTGAATTGTTTTGGATGCACTTTGGGGGATGGTCTATACACAGGAATACCTTTGCCATGCATCTTTGCTCTTAGGTAGCGTTTGGTACGCAGACATAATTGGACAGGACTGAACAGGACAGGACAAGTGGGTAGGACTGGACAGGACTGAACATAACAGGAGTATGTCTGGTGTTTGATACGACTAGGACTGGACGAGACAGAGCTAGACAAGCTACCCCCAAAAGTTATTTGATGATTTTAAATATTATATAATAGTTATAATTAACAAAAATAAAGTAAATAATTAAAGAATAAATATTTGTACATAATTTTCATATTTGTACCAAATTTGAATGAAAATTTTGATATAATTGATGGTAGTAGTGAACAAAATGAAGGCAGTTCCAGCATTGAGTTCCTTGCCTAACCTACCAATCTATTAGATTGGTTACAAGATGTGTTTGCGGATTTCTAGTTAGCCATAATTGATTCTCCATAAGATCAACATGCAATCTTTTCCTTATCTTTTTACATTGAACTAGTGAATAAATGACAAAGGATTTTCTGATCTCTACAGTATACAGAAGAAGAGGTCGAGCACAGTTATGAAGAATTTTATGAGGATGTGCATACAGAGTTTTTGAAGTTCGGGGAAATTATAAATTTTAAGGTCTGGTTGGAAAAGCTATTTGCTCATTTCTCTTTTTCTTTTTGTTGATAACTGTGTGCTGTGAATTTATGATAGTAGATTAAGTTTAGTAGTGGAGCTATACCTATTCCTGCTTCATATGCATTACTTCCCTCGTAATGCGTGTCTCTGCGATCATTGGAGTGGTTTGAGAAGTTTTACTTGGTTCTAATAATTATATCAATTACAAAAGCTACATATTTGACTAGGGATGTTCATCTAAACCATCAAACAGCCACACAGCACCACAAAGCGTGGTTTAGAACTTCCGCAATGCGATTTGCAGTTTGCATTTTTACCAAACTGTACTATGCGGTGCGGTTTGCAGTTTTGAATCATCAAACCATGGTTCAAACCGCAGCACACCGCACTTGTATATATATATCTTAATTTTATATATAGCATATATATAATATATATCGAATAATTGGGCTAATTCAGTTTGAAGTTACTTCTTGGACTATTTTTAATATGTAATATGTATTTGGGAATTGAAAGTAAAAACTTCTTATTTATTTGGACTACGTTCGGGTTATTGTTGAATTTATAATGAAGTTTTAATCTTATGATTGTTGTATTCTAGGCGTAAAGTGCGTTAGGCACAAACCACATAATGGGCGGTGCGATTTTTTGTGGTTTGAGGTATATGCAGTGCGGTTTGGGAAAATGCTTAAACCGCAGCATGAGCACCCCTATATTAGACAGTGGCAACAATCAATCAAACCAGTGATGTCTACAGGACGTATTATTGTTACTTGTTAGTTTGCCATGGTTGATAATGAATCAATATTACTTGTGTTTAGGTGTGCAGAAATGGTTCTTTCCATTTACGAGGAAATGTATATGTCAACTATAAGTCGCTGGATTCAGCTGTGATGGCTCATAATTCTGTGCATGGTCGTTATTTTGCAGGCAAACAGGTATTATATGTTGCTTTTTACATAGTCGTGTGTTGTCAGAATTGCATTCGTTTATGTTTAGCTGTAAAAATGAACTCAACTTCTATTGTTTGTAGATACTGGTTTTTTCAACTTCATTTCTGATCTCTTAAGTGTTGAGTCAGAATTCCAGGCCAATGCCATTTTCCAATTGCATGTCATTTTGTGGGTTCCATGTTCTTTTCTTCTTCATTCTAAACCAATAATAAGATGAGATACAAATGAAATCAGAAATGAAACAAGATGGCCTAACTGAATTGGCTGTTACAAATAAATCTTTGGCATCAGTTATAGTTTATGATATCCAAATCTTAGTTGCGCTATGTTGTTTTTATCAAGCGCAATTCTTTGGTGGATGATATAATGAAGAAAATTTTTAAGTTGTTAGTTTGCATTAGATTGTTTGTTTTTAGAAGAGTAGAACTAGTACCTGGATTTGTTCAGACCTTCGTAATCTTGATTCTAACTGCCACTGCAATGGATTTGGGTGCGGTTTACCTCTTTGCAGCCTAGGATTTGAAGAATTACCTTTATCCTTGTGTCAAGTAGTATCCATAAATATCTTTCATTGAACTTCCCCGATACTCTTAGTGGTATCATGAGTGGAGTGTCTAGAAAAAGCATGGCGAGCTATGTGAGTTTCTCCCAACTCTTTACCAGTTTCTTCATGTTTCTTTTTTCCCTTCTATTTGTGCCTTTTTAGTACGTTTGGTAAGCAGGACAGATGTCCCACTTTTAGTGTGATGTTAGACGGGCAGCGGACAGGATCAGAGTGGGACAAAAAGTTCCATTTTTTTGTCCCATGAAAATAGGGGGAACAAAAATCATGGAGATGGGACAAGATTAGTACATTACTAAACTACACATACAAATTATAACCCTAAAACCTTTCATGATTCTTTCACTCGCCTACCTCATTCTTGCCTGTCCAGTTCCAATCGTGTGTCTTCCTCTCATTCTTCTAGCAGCACCATGAAGATGTGGGTTTCTTTCACACATCCCCCATCCTGTATGGTGTAACATGAGAAGCCCCTTCTCTTTTCAACCAACTGTTCCTTCAGTCAGGGCTACGAATGGCATCTCTTAAGTGTTTCCCTTCCATACTAACTTTATTTTTCAGTTCCTTGCCTAGTCTACTTATCTTCTTTCCCACAGGCTCTGGTGTCTGAAAATTTGTAATCATACTCAAGACTTTTGCTTCTCTTTAATTGTGCTTATACTCTGCCTTTTCAACTTTTTCTAGCCTCTTGGTTTCTCTTAGATTGGTTGGTTTCCACTCCCCAATTAAGGAATCATAGAAACTGATTGATGAAGAAAGTGTTATTCAAGGCCGTGTTCCTATGTCCATCCTTTTAAGTCTTCAAAAAGCTTCCTGTAGCGGTGAACGATGTTGCAACCTTTTGAGTTCTCCTGTGGAATCCTCTTCACATCTTGCAGTGACTTCATCCATAAAATTTTCCAATGTCACGTCAGGTGCCTAATATGCCATGCTTTCACATCTTGCAGTGACTTCATTCATAAAATTTTCCACTACAAGTCAGGTGCCTAATATGCCATGCTTAGCTATGTGCTGGTTTCTCCCCTCTGAAGTCTGAACTTCGGAAATCTTGCTTAACAGCCATTTACAAACTATTTGGTACTGCTTCTTCAATCTTTGATGAAGCCATAAAAGGTCCCAAAATGGAGTCACTAATCTGTCCACCAGATTCTCCTTCGCTGCATCCCCTATTGATGGATGTGTGTCTTCTTGTGTAACTAAACAACCATCACAGTCTCAACACCCTTCAGCATTTGTGGCAACTATTGATTATATCCTTTTTGCATGTTTTACACCGGTCCCTCTCCAACTTGTCCTGCAACTTCTTTGAGTCACTGCATTTTATTTCTTAAATGCCTGTCGCTAGACTTGCTATCCTCTGAGTATTGGTAGCCATAGTGGGATCAAATTGGCTCTGATACCACTTTACAAGGATCTTCTTAGATGTAGAGAATTCTGAGAGGATTTAGAAAGAAGCATTTAAACAGACAGACACAGAGAGAGAGAGAGAGAGAGACGAAAGAACATTCTTATTATGACCAAAAGTATGCTTTTCTTGCATCAAAACAGTAAGTTATAGGTCTAACCTTTTAACTAACAATCACCCTACCTTCTCATTTGGTTACAGCTACCAACAAGATGTTCAATAGATGCTGGAGTGTATGAATTTAGATGGAGGTTTAGACTTTATTAAAATCTGCATTCAACAAATTTTTGTAAGTATGTGGTCAAAGACTCAAAGTAGGAAATCTATTGCTTCTTGTGCGGATGTAATGCATGAGAGGCCATAAAATTATCACGAATATAATGCTGGAACTTTAACGTAAGCTTCAATCTAGTTCGGATAATGGGATTGTAGGATTTGTGGAGGGTTGATTGGCTATTGGGGAAGAATTGGCTATAAGTTTCACATAAGGATCCTGTTTAGGACTACATTGTTGATCACACCTTCACATATTCTGTCTTTTCCATTTTCTGTCTAAGTTCCATAATAGAAATTAGAAGCTGGTTTTTCTTCTTTGTTATGTACACAGTACTGTGGAGCTTAGTGTGCATATTTCTAACATATGGAATATTTGTTATACAATATTGTGTTATGATTAACAACCGAAAAATTCCTATTTATATTTCCTCATTGTGTCTATGATATGAAGTGTGTAGATCTATATTGCAACAATGTCATATTGGCTCTGCCTCTTGCACAAGCCGGGGGTCTTCATGGAAACAGCCGCTCTACTCTTTTGGAGTAGAGATGAGGTCTGTGTACATCCCCCCAGGGACCCTACTTTTGAGTGGGATTTACTGAGTCATTTTGGTCTGGTTTAAGATGAAATCGGGGAAAAAATCACTCGTAAAAGTAGGGTCTTGGGGGAGGGAGAGATGCATGCAGACATGACCTCTACCGTAAAGAGTAGAGTGGCTGTTTCTTTAGTGAATGCAAATATTAAGTTTTCTTCTATAGGTTACCGATCATTCAATAGAAAGCCCTCATCACAGGAGCCATTTTGGAAAAGAATATTGGATGCATAGAGATAACCATTTTTTTTGGCATTTGGATGGCTGATGAAAATGCTCCTCCACACTCAAAATTAGTGATTAATCTCCGTTGTTCCATCGTTGCATGCAACCACAAAAATCTCATGATTTTTAGTTCATATGCATGTGTTTGCATTGGAAGACATTCTAAGTCATGTCCTAAATAGAAGGGATGAAGTAGCATATATATATATATATATATATATATATATATATATTTGTAGTTATTACAAGCACATTTTCCCTTTTATAGTTGTATAAAGTTTTAGTTTATTATTTCCTTGGGGGAGTGAGTTTAAGAGTTCCATATCACTCATGCTTTAACAACTGCCTACTGGATTTGGACCTCAATCTTGATTTCCGATTGGCTATTGACAGGTTAAATGTGAGTTTGTTAGCTTAACGAAATGGAAGGTTGCCATATGCGGGGAGTACATGAAATCAAGGCTTAAGGTATCGTCAATGCGCCCAACCAAGATTCATAGTTATGTGTATATATTCACTTATTGTTCTACGCCTTAAGTTGATTCGCTTAGCGTTCATGTTTTCTATTCTAAATTGCAACTCTTTTTAATCAATATTCTGCTTACTACCAGACGTGTTCCAGAGGGTCTGCTTGCAACTTCTTACACTGCTTTAGCAACCCTGGTGGAGACTATGAATGGGCTGATTGTGATAAACCGCCCCCAAGATATTGGGCGAAAAAGATGACTGCTTTATTCGGTTATTCGGATGACTCTTGGCATGCCAAACAGAAAGAGCAACCAAGTCCAAAGGATAGCAAAATATTCACATCCGATAGAGACGGGTTAGTTTTAATTTGTATGGCATGACTGATAAAATCTCATAATTGCATCTTTTATGCTAAATACAAATTTAAGAATCAGGAAACACCCTTACTTGGTTCAAAAGAATCTTGAAAACTTCACACCAACCCTTGAGGGGAAGCTCAACTTACACCAGAAGTCATCGCTTCAAGTTTCAGGGCCACTGAGGGTTTGTCCGTCTGTTAACCTCAGGGCCTCATGAGATTAGTCAATGTGTACCCAAGCTGGCCCAAGGTTACCCAAAAAAACTTCCACACGATTTTTTACAAGAAAAAGAAATAAAAGAACAATCAGATAAATTCTTAGAAAACCAGTGTGGTTGCATCCTTGAATTCCAAAGTTCTTTAAATTAAATTCCTTTCATGATTTTATTTATAAGCAACGTTCATTTAGTTTCTTCTGTTTATTTGTCTTTTCGCCGTTCTGATTATTCATATGCATGGAGATTCCTAATTCTCCCTTTCCTTCAGATATACAATTTCTAGCATGCCTCTCTTTAGAAAAGGGGCAATCGTTTGGAATTTGTTTCGGTTTTCATGTTTGTTGCTTGTCTGCAGTTATCACTCCAAAAGGCGTCGATCTATCCAAACAAATCAACACGATGGAGGTTCTGGTAGAAGCCGCCATGAGGAAAATCATGCTCGAAAGAGC